CTGCTTTAATGATAAATCAGACAGGTCAACCCAAAGAGATAGTGACCACTTCAACAAAGAAAACAACTATAAGGCTTCAACAGAAAAAGACAGCAACACTGCTAGTAACAATACCCAGGCAGGCCAAACAAACTGATGGAGGCCGCCGTCACTTAAGGGAAACCACCGCTCAGTTAAGAGCTACTCACAAAGAGCCACGCACGGTGGGGCTGGTCACACACAGCAGGCCTTTTTCCATACCTAGACCAGTATCACACACTGACCAGCACAGAGGAAATCCACCAGACACTTCTCCCACATCCACACTGCTCTTCTCCAGCTTATATCACCTCTGAGGGTAATTGGTGGTAAACGAGGGCAGATGAGCAGCAGGTGTGTCCTAAAGGAGAAGGCAGGGGCAGAGAGAGACAAGGGGAGGGGCAAGAAAGAAGGAGGAGGAGAGGGAGAAGACAACACCACGCCCACACACTCCCACAGCCTCACATGATGTAACAAGGTACTTGCACCTGTCCTGTATATCTGCTGATCTGCATTCTGGTAGCTCCACTCCTACAGTCTGGATCACCTCCCCTCTCATTGCTATCATTTGGCCACGCTTGAATTACATCCTGATATCCTCACTGTAGTGAGGTGGATCAGTGACGAGTCGATGTCTTGCTTGCTCTTGGTGTACCACTGGCCATCACCTGGTCTTTACTTTGCAGGTGGTGGTTGATGGCCGATATGAAAATTGGTGACTGAATCTTGAGAAAATAGAAAATGAATCTTTAATTGGCACATGTAATTCCTGCTTTAATAAGTCAGAGGTTAGTTTAGATATATTAAATAATTTTATTTCCATTCATTATTTATGGAACACCAGGACTGACATAATGAATTAATTAAATACATTTATTTTCTTTTAAATAAACTGCTAAGCTAATGACAAAAACACAGTTTTTAATCCAATTAACACTGTTGGTGTCATTTGAGTTCTCACTCATTTCCAGCACATTTGCACATTTAAACTTTTGTAAATAAATGACTTGATTTAGAAAAGTTTAAATGTGCAATAATAAGCAAAACTCTTGTAGCTCTAGTGGTACAGCATGTGTACTGTATAATAACAAAAGCTGTTGACTTCTCTCCCTTTTTAATTATTTGTGGACCATTTTCATTTGGATGGTGAGACACCATCTTGTCTCACATTTGTGAACACATTTCAAACACATAGGCTACGTTCACACTGCAGGCGAAAGCGCATCAAATCCGATTATTTTGACCCTATGCAACCCATATCCGATCATGATATGACAGTGTGAACGGCGCAAATCCGATATTTTCAAATCCGATCTGGGTCACTTTCGTATGTGGTACTGAATCCGATATATCCGATGTTTCAGAAAGCGACTGCTGTTTGAACGGTCATGTCGCATTAAATCCGTCTTTTACGTCACTGACACAAGACAGACGCCAATTATCAGTGCCCGAGAAGACATCGTGAACCATGGCCATCCCGGCCATGTCAGTGAAACTGTTGGGAAGACAACGTTGGAGAAACGTGAACATCTTATTTGTACTGTATAATCTGCAGATTCTGACAGAAATCTGCAACTATCCTTTGAAACACCGCTCCTCTAAAACAGCATTAAGGCTAATTATTAGGTTATCTACATTATTATGTAAATAACAAAATAATTTAAAGCAAAAATTGGGAAACATGAAGTCCGAAGTCTTTATATTAAGGGCCATCAGTCAAACAATATTGTTTGCTCTGGGTCTAAACAGAGCACATTGTGTGTGACGCCTTCTTTTGCGCATGCGGGCCGCTTTGAGCGTTCACACTAGAGCACGTTTGCTGTCGCATTTTATTTGTAGTGTGAACACGCAGACAAAAAAAATCGGATTTGATCAAAAAATCGGAATTGAGCATTAAGACCTGCAGTGTGAACGTAGCCATAAAGAGTGTTTTTGTTAAATTTGTTCATCTAAAATTGAAGAAGTCAGATGCAAGTCCATGATACTGTTTCTTGGAACTGCTCGACATGGTCATTTGTCACTATCTTTCTACAGCAAACTAGATGAACGGCAGAAACCACAATTTCCAGATAAGAATCAAACGTCAGCAGTCATTATAAAACTGCACTTGTGTTTTACCAAAGAAAGCAATTTTTAAATTAAAAAAGACTGAAGCATTAATTAATGGTAGGACTTCTTTGAGCAGCCTTGTAGGAATGGGGTCTAAAAGGCATGCTGATGGTTTGGAGAAAGTAATTACTAAAGTTAACTCAGAAAGATCAATTGGAGAAAAATACTCTAAATGAATATCAATGGTACTGAAAGTAGCTGTGCATAATGTTTTGTCTGTGAGATGGTTATGAGTAATTCTTTCTCCAATGATTAAAATTTTATTTGTGAGGAGGTTCAGAAAGTCATTACTAGTTAATGTTAAAGGAAGATAATAACAACAGTGGGCAGTCTTATCACTACATGCTTAAGTACTGTGTACCAGCACCAGAAATAACACTTTGTTGTTTTAAATGGCCTAAACTACTGTTATTTAGCTAAGTGTAAATGCAAATAGCACACAAAGTAGAAGACATGGGGTAGTGTAGCTCACTGAGTTCAGCAGGTGTCACGTTGGTGTGTGGATGTGGAGAAGAGAGGACCCAAACGCAGGACCCACAGGCTGGTGAAGCACTTGGATGGTGTTTATTGTGATGACAGGATGAACAGAACATGAGACTAATGAATGGCTGAACTGGAATCACATGTGGGATTGAGGATGACAAGACAACAAACTGGAGGAATCTAAGGACTTAAATACATAGGATGATGATGATTAGAAACAGGTAAGTACACAGCTGAACTAAATCTGACTAATAACACAAGTGGTTGAGGAGGCGGATGAAAACGATGAGAAAGAAAAAATTAGAGAGAGAAAATTAAAATGTAAAAAATGTAAACGTTCAAAAATTGTTTGAAATTGATTTTGATGATTTTCAAAATTCAAATAACTGATAATTACTTATCTAATGCTGGTATATCAAATTTTTTTTTTGTTCCTCTTTGTTTATCTACATCAGCAGAAAAGCAATTTTTAAAAAAAGGATTCACTTTCTGTCCTTGATGATTGCTGCAGCCAACACAGCAGAAGATAACTAACAAGAAGGAAGTGATAACTAGTTATTGGACGTGAATGCTAATGGTTATCACGTCCAATAGCGGGCAGCCGAGTGTTGTGTGCATGACATCAGATGCAAAACCTCGATAGGCAAATAGCAGTTCAGTTACAGTAAGTGAACATCAGTAATTCAGTCCAAATTGGTTCTCAAACAAAGCAATTATAAAACAGCTGGTGCAGTTACAATTATCACTGATGTTTCCCATCACTGTGGCTTAATCCAGGGCACATTTTTCTATGCACATATTATATATTTCTATGAATATACAGTGGGGGTCTAAAGGGGTTCTGAATAGTCTAGATAATTTCACACCATATAAAAAATCATATAAAAGATGAAACTGGAGCTAAAATATCAGAATTTCAGGAGCGGGTCCACACCTCCATACACATTTCTTCCAGCTCTCTGTCTGTGTATGACCAGTCTTTTACAGCTGAGGTGTAATAATAGAACAAAAGCACTGTTGACCTGCCCAATAATGACGCCTCCTTGGTGGCTGAAGCTCAGGGGTTAGAGCAAGTCATCTGCGAAGGTTGGTGGTTCAATCGCTGGGTGCTCCAGTCCACATGCCAAATATCGTTGGGCAAGATACTAACTCCAAGTTGCTCTCCGACGAAGAACATAGAGTATGATTGTTGTAAATGTTGGATAGACACTTACATAGAAAAAGCATATTAAACATTTGTGAATGGGTGAGGCTAACTGTGTAAAGCACCATATAAGAACCAGTCCATTTACCAGAGTCATTCTTTTTCACAAATCTTTTAGCAGCCTTCTTGAAACATATGTTATCAGTATTATTGTTACTATTCATAGTAGTACAACAGTAGAGGTGATGTTGGTATTATTACTGATTATTGTATTATTATTGTTATTTATTGATGTGTCATATAGCATGACAGATGTTCAATGTGATTACACAGAAATTATGTAGGAGCGGATAATGGATAACAGGTACTGATCTTTAGAAAACTATCTCCTTTAACTATCTAACACATTTTAGGGTCGACTTGAAAGAAAGGCAAATATGAAAAGTAAAAGTGAGGTCAGAGGTCAAATGTGACATTTGGATGTAAACTATAATGTGACATTTAGAATTCCCATAGTTTTAAATGGTTCTGTACAGCATTATTATCACTTCAACATTTAAATGTCTATTTACCTTGAAAGAGAGGTCAGAGGTCAAATATGAGATGATATTTTAAATCTTTATTTAAAGATTAAAGACTGTGTCGCCCTCTCTCTGCCGCTCCCTACGCTACTTTCTATGTGCTGACAACAGAGGTGGGAAGTAACAAAGTACCAATACTTACACATGAGCTTCATATGTTTCCATTTTTTC